TCTTCGTTCAGTTATTGATGTCAGTGGTTTTTATGACATGGCTTTAAAGTTGGGTTCGTTTAAAACTCCATAATGATGTTCTGTGACATATTCAGGGCCTAATGAATTACCCATGCAGTTTAGAATGAACGCAGTAAATTAGTAAAAGAACTGAAACTGCCAATACTGATTTAACAATTTAAAACAGGTAAGAGGATTTTTGAATTGAGGTATCTTATAGCGTAAAGTACTTAATATCGGCAATTCTTGCAACGTTTCGTTGGTGTGAACGGTTATACGCATTTCAATTTTCAAATAAAGCAGCCAGTTAATGAGCTGCTTACGTTTACAAGCATAAACAAAGGTTTGGATACGTATTGTAGCTCGATGTTTCTAAATGTTTCTTTACAGATAACACAGTACTTTCTGCATTTTCATGTTTAATAATAATGTTCCCGATCATGAAAAAAGACAGAAGCAATTTTTACAGAACTTCCGACGTTATGAACTGAGCATTGAAAAATAATGTAAAATGTCTTCCACCCATATATTCTACAACTTCATACGGTCTTTAGGCGAGAATTCGTGTATATGTTGTAATACAGAGCCCAGTACATTCAGACGTTTTCATTCGATGTTGTCTTACTGGTTCCGTAGGAATTTTACCCTTGAGATATCGTTTCTTTCAATTCAATGTATATAATATACAGGGTGATTCAAAGGGTTAGGGCCAAACTGAAGGAACTTATAGAGGGACTCAGAGAGAACAACTTTCGAATAGGAATCCATGTCCTCCGAAGTTATCCTGAGTCAGTCGAGGGCAGCCTGATAACATACCGCTGAAATAATCGTACTTTGCTATTCTCCTGCTAGCTTAATTTTGAATCACACGTATCCCGGGCGTTGGATAGAGAGAGGAGGGCCGGTTGAAAGGCCAGTCCGATCCCCAGACTTGACACCTCTCGATTACTACTTTTGGGGCCATGTCAAGAGCCTCGTTTACGAGACACCGGTGGACGACCCAGAACAACTTTTGGCCAGAATACTTGCTGCATCTGACGTGGTCCGTGAGACTCCTGGGGTATTTGAAAGGGTACGTCAGAGTTTCGTTCGCCGATGCAATGCCTGCATTGAATGTGGTGGATGCCACTTTGAACACCTGTTGTAAATTTGGTTTGTAAAATTGCTAATGTAATCCTTGTACATTAATAAAAAACAACAAAATTAAGCTAATAGGAGAATAAGAAAGTACGATTATTTCAGCGGTATGTTATCAGACTCCCTACCTTCAATGGCCTCGACTGACTTAGGATAACTTCGGAGGACATGGATTCGTATTCGAGAGTTGTTCTCTCTTAGTCCGTCTATACGCTCCTTCAGTTTGGCCCTAACCTTTTGAATCATCCTGTAAGTGGAGCATAGAGTTCTTGCATGTATCCGTTTCCTTTCCTTGATGAAATAACTTTGAACATGAAGAGAATACTGCGAAATTGACGAAGTGAATTCAAAGAGTCAGAGAAATAAAGTAAACTTTCAAAGAAGCTTCCAGAACATCCTGCTGATGCACTAAAAGGCTACTGGGTGATGTTTCGTACACTTTCCGTGCTTAACTTTCGAGCATGGAAATATCAAACATTTAAAAAGGATTTATTCTAGAAATTGTATAAAACCTACTTTGCTGTTGAACTGACTTCTTCTCCAACACATGTTCTGTTGATAATTTTAGGTTTATATAATGTAAATTTATAATCTAGCAGATAGGATTTATGTTATCTTCCCTCCTATTTTATGTATGGACGAAAGTAGAATCAAGCTTTGTAAGCGTTAACATTTTTTAGTTTGTTATTTAGACGATGTACGGAATAAGAAAACACTTTTGCACTTTATGAAACATTTTTTAGGGCTACTGACAGATGACAGAAGATATAGCTTGGTATGTCAGTAATAAAAGGAGAAATGCGTGAACTATTTCACGGTGTTGAGTTTTATCCGTTGTAAAGATGAAAGTAGGTTACAGTAGGCTAATTTCTGAAAGTGATACCGTTAATTCCAAAAGTTGTAAATAAGTAGATTAAAAACTTAGGAGTGTCATTGTGTAGCGATGACTTGGAGATATGGAACAGGTTTGGCGGTACGAGAAAATCAGCCTCACGCTGCGAAACTCTTTGCCCGGCGAAATTCACTTCGTTAAAATTGTAATACGCGGCGATGAAGGATATTAACAGAGCCGACTGCGGTATTTATTAGGCCCACGCGTTGTCTTTGATCACAACCCACGTCATAAAATGACTCACAATCACTGAAAAGTGAACCATAGACCCTCTGTTTCTTTCTATTGCGAATATTTTTATTAAGGCTTACTTAGGTGTTCTGTTGGGGCTCGGTCCCTTCTTGATAAATAAAGAGTTCAATTAACTTTTTTTTTCTTAATAGTGTTGAGAAAAATGGTCACCAAAATATATCACATTACAAAATATAATATTGTAACAATTAATTTAGAACATTTAGCCCATAGAATGTATTTATGGCTTTCGTTTGTGCCTCAGAATAAACAGGGATTGTTTTGCTAAACAGCATTAACCAAATGATCTTTGTAATCTTGAAGCGTGTGTAGGAACTGAATTAATAAATAGAATTTAGATTAACTTTATACGAAATAGATTTTGAAAAGTATCTGTACCTGTAGCTTACTCCATTGTATAGGTCACGTGATAAAATTTAAAAATCAACACCCGTTGATATATTTTGATGCTTTTATTGTGTCAGATTTTTTGAGCGTAAAAAGTAACTCGCTGTCAATGTGAAAAGTGTGCTTGCACGCTTCTCACTGATCACGCAACACGAGGACGTACCTTACCGTTGGCAATGTGAAGTTCTCATTCGTTATAAATCCGATGAACTTGTGTTTGCTGATGCGAGTGTTCTGACGCTATTAATGACTCCACCCTTAACTTTCATGCAAAGCACTACAGTAACTGCAGAAACTCAAAACAAGAGACTCATGTTTCACGAAGTTAATGACCTACGTTAAGAGATAAGAGAGTGAGTAGTTTGTTTATAAATCGAAGAGTTATATGCTGGCGCTGTTCTAATGACGGAATTTCAAAGGCTTGTATTCCTAATACTGTTACAGAATAAAATTTGAGTTTATACAAAAATTGTGTTGTTGTGAAAGTTCGGAAGGACGCAGAGAGAAGAGAGTTATGAGAAAAATATTTGCACTTAAGAGGGAGGAGGTAAAAGAAGGCTGGAGAAAATGCATGATGTGGAATTTTTATGAAGCATTATAGGGTGTTCAAATCTAAGAGGACAAAGTAGGGTGGGGGGCATGCAGCGCTCTTGGGAGCGGTAACATGTGCAAATCGAAGTTTAATATTAACACATGAAGACAATAGACCACGTGGAAGATCTAGGCACAGATAGGAGGACAATGTAAAAATTGATCTTGAAGAAATATGACATCGTATGGATTGAATTTATCTGGCTCACTTTTTGGATTGCTAGCGATTTCATGTTGAACACGATAATAAACATTCGCGTTCGATTAAAGGGAGTGAATTTCTAAACCAGCTGAGTGACTTTTAACTTCTTAAGAGGAACTACGCGTCTGTGTATTTACTTGTCTTTAGCTATAAATACTTTCTTGCGTATTCTTATGTCATTTAAATATCCGAAGTCAGATGTTGGCTGTCGTCTGGTAGAAGCTATCGACGTTTCACAGGTGATGGGCCCTAATGATGAGCATGTCTGAAACGTCGATAAGCTTCTACCAGACCACATGGTGCAGCAACCCAGAAGACAGCCGTCTTCATATTCGCCTTTGTGTTATGTCATAATGTTGGGCCACTACTTCGTATATGTATGCATGAAGGGCTTATATGTAAGAGAACAATAGACAGACCTCAAAGTTTTATACTCCTAATGGAAACAGATTTGTCCGTTGGCCGCGAAGACAAATTGTAATAAAGATTAGATTAGCAAGGAGGAAAATGTAACTTTATATTTTTTGACGATAAAATTAATATTTATGAGGAGGAAGCATTAAATTTGTTTCATTACATGTTTTTTGTTAACATTTTTGTTCGCCTTTTAAGCTTCGTCGTGTGATATATCGTAGATTATTCCAATTAGTTATAACGAACATTTGGTCTCGATATATGTAGGAATTTTAATTAAAAATCTAAAAACAAATGGAAAATTATATTTCGCTGTCGAATAATGTAACGACAGATTATTCAGGACAGTAATTCGATATAAATGGCTGTTAATCGAACAGTCTACTCTATAGACGTCAATACACTGAGATGAACATAGATTTAGTTAGCGAACGAAGTTCTCTCAGGATTTTAAGTAGATTCAAATGAGAGTATATGTATTAACCTTTTAGAAAATAGCTCAGGGGAAAGCACAGAAGCAATACACGTACACTCGATACCAGTGAAGACTGATGGCTTATATTCCACTGAAAGCATTACGAAAACTCGGTACACACAGTTGTTTATTACAGACTTTGTTCATGTACGATTGCAAAGCAAATTCAGATTTTCACCTCGAAACCCGCGTTTTAGAGACCTTTGCCACCTGCAACATCAAACCCTTTGTTTTGACCTGTATTGACGTAACTCACGAGCTGTAGCGCTCGGTTGCTCCCTTGTGGTGTCTGGACACAGCGTCACTGCATCAAAGCGCGGGACATTTTGCCCTTACGTAATCCTATACAGGTATAATTATATGTGATATTAACATAGTCTTTACTTTTGCTGTTCAGGTAATGTGGACACTGTATTCCTTGGGAAGTAAACAGCCCTTTCTTCGTTTCAAAACGCTTTCTTCAGTCAAAAGTTTTGACGAAAGTGTGTTATTAAAGCCATGTATACCCTGGGATGATTTTCTTCGTCTATTGGTTAGAAAACACAACTTTTGCCTTTTGACGGAAGTCGGAACAGCTTAAGAATGTTGTTTGCCTTTTAACCAACAGACAAAATATTATGTCAAAGAATACTTACTTTGTTTTATTGCAGGGTCGCAGATACGGAACAACTATTCACTCATCTCCTTCATCAGGTTAAGGTAAGGAGGAATGTTAAATAACAGCAACACACCAACTTCAGAACCTTATACATTTAGTTAGATTAATAATTTCGCCATTCTTTCCGTACCATCTGTTGGTAATATTACTGATAATATTTTCATGATTATGATTGTTGTTTATGTATACATCGTTTTATTTTCTGATGATCAGATGGTGATCTTCAGTGAGTTATTCATAAACTTAATAATGCAATTCATAAATAAAATATGAAATGTTACACCTAAAAATTGATGGTCTTATGGGAAGAAGGAATATTTTAATTAGTAAGAAGCTAGAATTATTTGGGCTGCATTATAAGAGAAAAATAATTTTAATACTAAAACTAAGGAATGTAATAGTTCTGTGGAACTGTAAGACGTACATTACTAAGCAAATGCCAAAAACGCATTGAAAAGTGTTTGATGTAATAATAATTAAATTCAATGAAAATTTTTATAATAATAATAATAATTTTTAAATCACTCTGACAGCCTGTGAGTTGCAAAAGGCAACCTTACAAAAACGTCTGTTAGTATTACTAATGGTTTTAAACTTTGACTCTGTGGTTACCTACAAGATTCTTATCGTTATGAAAATTGTACTGAAAGGCGACTCAAAAAAGTTCATAGAAGAAAACATTTTTTCTGTGAAGTTATTTATAACAATCAAATCTTAATTTTGAATGTTCGCAATAATTACACGTTCCGTTGAGATTGTTGTACGTTTAAAGTAATTTCTGTCAGCCTGGAGGTAGACTAGGCTGTGGGGTTCAATTGGCTCGCGTTGCATTTCTGACAAATTGTTGAAACTTGTGTGTATCATAGTGACGGGTAATTGCATATTTAATTAAAGCTGAAGTCATATGCATTAATAAGGGACGAAATAATTGGGATGTATTGTGTTATTGACTGGCGTGATTTGAATTAAATACGCAAAAATTTAATTATATGAACCTGAAGAGTGTAACGTAGCTACTGTTTTCCATTGGTTATTACAATTTGAGTGTATTTTTAAAACTTATTACACTATAGGCCTACTTATAAAACCTGTATATATTTGTTTTGCCCAAGTGGCTGTCCTGATATAGACCAGAAGAGTCATATTCATTCGTATCTTATTTTACTTTGGTATTAGTGTCAATTTAACTCATGACTCAAACTTTAATTTACCGCTCCAGTTTTATAACACCTAATTTTTTTTTTACTTTAACCGTGGAATGAGTAATAAAACCTTTTTAAAATATTGCAATGTGGAGACTGGAATGGTAAATATCCGGAAACGAAACTTAAACTGATTACACTAAAAGACAATGTAAATGTCTTGCAAACTGAAAAACATTCTTCAGCCAACTTGCAGCTGTTTATCACTTGAAATTGTTCTCTCAGAATACAGACAGAAGAATACCCCAAGAAACAAATAACAATATCGATGCAATTGTTTATTAAAACTTTAAATTTCCACACACTTTTTGGGATGGTGACGCATTTAATCATTGTTCTGTCTCTATAGCCTGTTACATCAAATAATGAAGCAAAATTAAATTAATTACAATGTGCACTTGAGAATTTACTTTAATGTACCGATTAACTAACAGTAGCTTTTTCATCGAGACCATTCGTCTGCTCGAACATACAATTCAGGTCTTCTAGTAATTATTGCTAATGAAGGCAATTGTTACAGTAGTAATTTATTTATATCTCCTCACTGATCTGTGCTGTTACATTTATATGCATGTATCTGTGTGCAGAAACTAGTTCCTGAGTGTTGTTAGGTTAACAGTTGTATTTTTGACATTATTTGACTTAAATAATATATCTTTGAGGTATACTTATATGTAACAAATTTTCAGTTACGATTAGATGTAATCGTACGACTTTAGAGGTACAGTGAACGCAAAATACCTCCGAGCTTAGTTGATCGTTACAAATACACACGAGGGCGGGAGGGGGAAGACCGTGGAGTGATAGTCCATGTGGAGAGATAAGCCGGTCTTTCCTTGTTCCACGTTTGTCGTTAGAAATATCCCTTTTATAAAATAGCCCCATATCATTAGAATTACCACGTTTGTCGTTAGAAATATCCCTTTGAATTGAATTGAATTGAATTTATAAAATAGCCCCATATAATTAGAATTCTACATTACTATTCATGGTCATCTTTGATGACTGATATCCTCTTTCAGTTCTTTCCTGAAGTTGAATAACATTTTATGTACGAGATTTTATATTTAGAGAAATATACAGGAAACATTATAAGCACACTTCATCTGTATCAGTAATTCACCGACCTAGATATTAACTGCGCTCCCCAAAACGAAGATGCGGTGTAATTTTAGCTGAGATTTTCTACTTTTTATCCGACCATTACATAATCCTACTCTTCTGTGTTAACCATATATTACACAGAGGCTATTTCTGCTATTAAAGCATTCGCCACACACGGCTATCTAAAGATCTGAATTAAGCTTCTTTGCCTTCCAGTATGAATAAATCAGCGAATATTTCACGTAAATCAAATTGGAGGTCGACTGCAGCTTTACCCTTTTTTATGTTATCAAACCTTTCACTCCATTTTGAGTCAGTGCCTTCATGCTATCAGACTTGTAGTAGGCTCAACCATGACACGTAAATCAACAGTCGTCTCCAGTTTCTTATATATTTTACCATTAATTTGCCTGCTTTTAATTCCAAGTTATGAAAATAGGCCTAAAGTGCTTTTATGTAATGTGATTTAAGAAATTGCTAAATTCAATGACAAATCGAGGAACTTTATAATTTACACCATTTATATAATATTGCTAGGTGATTAAATAAAAACGTATTCGATAGACAGGGCATCCAGCATGCATGTATGTATAAACCAAAGGAAGTGAAGATTTGGTTCGACCGCATAAACGATGTGAGGTTGAAGACGTAACGGTAAATTCTGCAAGTCCCTGAAGTGAAGATGATAATAATGAATAATGTAATTGATTCTTACTAAATCTGTAGGAAGGGAAATTCATACTGTTTGAGGTCATTCGGGACACGTGTTAGTATGGTAGGGATGTCTGAGTCAGCATAGTGGCTAGCTAAGAGCTGGTCCATCCCGATTCGATTCCTGGCAGGGGCAGGAATTCTTCTCTTCGTAGACCAACGTCGGATCCGACTACTGGATTCAAAGAGCTTTGTACTGGAGGAACGCGGCTGGGGATTTTTTGAAATTGACATGTCGTCATGGATAAGGATCAATAGGATCATAAGGACCGGTTAATGGAATAAAATTGACACTTCTAGTACCAGTGGTATAGAGCAGGCAGTGTAAGCTGTTAAGACCTATCCAGAACCAATATATGTTTGAAAACAACATTTTTAAAACTTGTGAGGTACTAAATACATTAATCAGTTATTTGTATTCTGGACTAGGTGAACTTTTATTTATATTGAAAGTTCACTAGGCCTTGTCGGTTTCCAGGTCATTAGCCATTTCATAAACAAGCATAAAGTTAATTGTTTTGCAGAAAGAAATGACAGAAAATAAAGAGCGATACTTTCATAGTATATTTAACTTTAGATACTGATTGCTTTTTCTCCAAAAGAACTGTCATATGATTTGCTTTCATAAACGTTGCTTTGTGTTCACTCATGATTGAATTTTGTTTTATTTTTAATTGCTCTGGGAACCTGTTTGTGCTTCAGAAAACATTCTCTAAATATACGCGTTGCAACCGTAAACATTTACGAAGACTGCTTCTTTCAGGTACAGGGAAATTTATTAATAATCTTTCTCTTAATCTTAGCACGTCTAATAAAATGATGTCTTAGAACAAAAGTTACCTGCTGTGTTCAGCGGTTGTGGTATTTAAAACTGAAGTCTCATCCTAGAGCATAAAATATACGAATTATGGAAGGGAGGTTATTAACGCCTTGCTTGTGGATAGTATTCCTGCAACATGCTCGGTTGTATCACACGACTGCAAATACTTGGATCCAAATGTTAAATGTTATACAATGCTTTTCGTGAAAAAAATAGTACCGATAATCTAGGCATTAATGATTTTGCTATATACAGGGCTAGTCTAAATGATGTTCCCGATTTGAAACACATGTTACTCACATTTAATGAAATTCAGATGCACAAAATTGGTACCGATGTAAAGAGAAACTCTCCAATTATCCGTCTTCTAGTAAATAAAATATAAAACGTAAAACGACGTTTCGGAGATGGGGCTCTGTCTCCGTCTTCAGGTTCCTACTCAGTTGGGCCCACTAGATAGAGCTAATCCCTATCTCCGGACAAAGTAAAAAAGTGAAAGTTTCAGAATACAAGAACATCACCACACCACTTACTTTGTCCGGAGATAGGGATTAGCTCTATCTAGTGGGCCCAACTGAGTAGGAACCTGAAGACGGAGATAGAGCCCCATCTCCGAAACGTCGTTTTACGTTTTATATTTTATTTACTAGACGATAGATAATATCCAAGAAAATTTTTATTCAAATGACTCATCACCATCGTCGAGAACTTTTAGATTTGAGAAATTCTCCAAGTTCATGTTGGTATACTTCGTGGCCGCATAGTAACACTGTTCGCCGCCAGGGGCGATAAGAGAGAAAATGGCTACCATCGAAGACAGGGGAGCCATTTTTGTGTCCTGGATTTCCACGTTCACCGGTCTGTTATTAGTGTGCAACGGCATTTCCGAATTAAGTTTGCGGCAGATCCACCCAGTGGGCATACAATTCGTAAGTGGTATTCCGGATTTAAGAAAATGGGCTTCATATCACAGCAGCCATTGCAGCAATCGATCATGATATGCTGCAACGTGTCTGGGAGGAACTCGACTACAGGCTGGATGTGTGCCGAGTTACCAAGAGGGCTCACATTGAACACCTGTGATTTACTGAAACAAAACTTGGAGAATTTCTCTTTCCATCGGTACCAATTTTGTGCATCTGAATTTTATTAAACGTGAGTAGCATGTCTTTCAAATCGGGAACATTATTTAGACTAGCCCTGT